TTGGGAAATTCCTGGAGATTTGGGGGGAGTGGGGGCCTGCTAGAGCCTGGGGAGGGCAGGGTTTGAGGAGGGCAGGGAGCCCAGTGGGCTAAAATGAGATCGAGTTCACCCTCCGAAGCATCAGTTCCCTCCAGGAGAACCGATCTCTGTCATCTGGAGATCAGCTGTCATTCTGGGCAATCTCCAGTCTCCACCTGGAGGTTGGCAACCAATGCTCCCTCTAAGCCGCGGTGTCTTGGGAGCAAAAATTCTACTTTGTGAGCTGCTGCCATCAAAGTGGCAAGGGAGCGATTGGGCCACTGAATAAATGAGTTCGCTCTGGAGCCGTCCTTCCAGAGTGTGTGAGCCAGAGGCTAAAAAACTGAACTAGCTCACACTGACTCAGCTTAGAGGGAACACTGCTCAGGGGACACATTGGCAATCAAAGGCAGGGAGAGGGATCCTGGGCACTCTCTGGTCAGAACCCACCAAACCTAGAACCAGTGCTGACGGGAAGGTTGCAGTGGGACCTTGATGGATGAAATCAGGAGGTCTGATGATGGATTAAAGATACAACCACAAACTTTGTGCTACTAATTTCTCTGTAAACATTATTATGGGAGCTTCTCATCTGCATAAAATGATAGATGATTAACTCTGGTTCTACAGTGAATGTAAGGAAATATTGAATTTCATCTTTAAAAGGTTTTTCCAATTAATATTTATCTAGACTAATTATCGGTGGAGCTGCGGTGGCTCAAGTGGTTAAGACGCTGAACTGCAGGCTGTGGAAGGTCAGTAGTTCAGCAGTTCGAGGCCCGGGTGCCGCATGATGGAGTGAGCTCCCATCTCTAGTTCCAGCTCCTGCCGACCTAGCAGTTCGAAAGCAAGAAATTGCAAGTAGATAAATAGGTACCACTTCGGTGGGAAGGTAACAGCGTTCCGTGCACCTTGGTGTTTAGTCATGCCAGCCACATGACCACGGAAAGGTCTTCGGACAGCGCTGGCTCTTCGGCTTTGAAACGGAGATGAGCACCGCAACCCTAGAGTCGGATTCGACTGGCTTTCGAGCAAGGGAACCTTTACCTTTACCTTTAGACTAATTATCACACATCATACTTGGTGCCTGGACGTAATGAGCCACTGCTATCCAAGAGCCCTGTTCAGGTGAGGATTAAATTTGGCTTATAAAGGGCAAGGTGGCTTGCTGCTTCTTTTTTTGTTTTTTGTTTTTGTTTTATGGATTTCTTACTATACATCCCTTAATTAAATCTGTTCCTGCCTCTCCATTGTTTTCGGATCTACCTGATAATTCCTGGAATTTTTTCAGGAATTCGTTTGGTTTTCCTGAGAAAAGCCAGATACATTTGGGATGCTGAAATATACCTGAAAAATACTGTTAAGGTATTTTTTCAGGTATATTTTCAGCTCAGGTAGATCTGAACGCACACCCCCTAATGGCGACCCTACTTTGTCTTTGTCTAAGGCTTTTTAAATATAATTTTACACATAAAGACAACATTTCCTTCTAGTAATTTTGATTACAACCTTGAATAGGTTCTGTCAAATTAGATTTTTGCAAGTATGACCCAATCTGTTTTTTATTTGTTTGTAATGAAAAGAAAACCCTGCTGCTGAAGTCACAACCCCTTTTTCTCCCTATTATGGTGGTATAAGCCATCACCTGAAGGGAGCTGAAGAGGCAAAGAAACTAAAATCAGGGTGTGAGACGTGGGGAGGACAAGGATTATAGTCAGCCTTTCCCCCTCTGGGAGAAAGGAAATGTTTGGATTCCTTGATGGTGACTAACACAATCTTATCCAAGCAAGCCATTTTTATCTGTTATATTCCCTTTAGTCCTCAACTGCCTCTTCTACAGGAAACTGATTTCATGCATGACTGGTCAAAGGTAATGTGGTCTGGAGAGCTTTTGCAACATTCACACGTAGTTTGCAGAAATTTAGCTTTTAGCTATAACACATAATGAAGACATTGTATGTAAATGTCTATGCCTTTACACTTACATGTTTAAAGTACTATGAAAAGAGTTTATAAGAGTCTGTAAATTTATCTGGATCACGTAAAACAAAAACAAAGTTCACTGTGCCTCTTGGCCATAGAGAGATTGTCACGCTCATCTGTGGAATGCTGTTTAGTCAAGGAAGAAAGTCTGATGACTCCCCTTTCATCTAGCATGGATTCCATTGAGCTACAAGCACAGGATAGGAAGACAGATTACATTAGAGGCAGGAAGAAGGGAAGTCAGAGTTGTGATCTCACTGGTGTCGAGGCCAAAACTCGGGGTAGCAGGCCAAAAGAGCTTGGGGACAGAGAAGGCAAGCTAAATGCCAGGAGGAACAAGCTACAGATCAGAGTAATGGATACCACTGAACAATATCTACACAGCAAGTCCTTCCAAAAGGCAGCAAAAAAAGAAGACATGTTGGCAGGTTGCTAGGACCTTAGAAGTGGACTGATGGTTGCCTCTGTGACAATACAATTTCTTAACCTACCCACTTACCCACAAATCAGAACAAAGGGGGGAAAAGGGCAGTGTCGTACCTTCACCTGTAGAAACCCTGTCACTAACTGAAAAAAAGGGGGGGAAAGGAAACTCAATCCAAAATCAGCTGCGAACTAAGAGGGTCAAGCTACAAAGTGTATTATAAAAATACAAATGTTTATTAGGGTGTACACATAGCTAAAACATACTGCGGTTAAAAGAAATAGTCTGTGGAGAATTTCACATTACCCTTTTTAAGCCGTTTGTTAGCCGTTATTGTACCGACTTAGAGTAAACTGGTACAGGGCTGCCATTTCACACAGCCTTTCTCCTACTGGTAAGGAGTTTGGCATTTCAGACTATGCTGCTTTGTTTTTATGTCTTTGTGGGTTTTTTAATTTAATATATATATTTTGATTTTGATTTATAGCCCGCCCGCCCTGCAAAAGCGGGGTTTTGTTCTGGTTTAAACATTTTAATGATGTGTTGTTGGTTTTGGTTGGGTTTAACGGTTTTAAAATAGGATTTTCATATGTATGTATTAATTTTTTACTGATCCTTGTAAGGACAGAAAGCTGGGATATAAACGTTGTAAAATAAAATAAAATCTCATTACAACACTCGACTGTATGTGAACATGCCCGGGCCTCATCTTGTCCTGTGATTGTTGCATACACAAAGTTAGCATTGGAGTATACCAGTTTGGGCTAGTCTGGCACAAAAATACTCAAAAGGTTTATAAAATTCCTTTAATCTTTGTTTAATTCTTATCTTGCTTTAGAAAATCCCTTCCTCGATGCCAAAGAATTAACAGAATGCTCTCCAATGAATCTTTACATCCTCCTACATACAGCCGTTCCAATTCCCAAGCCTCTGTTGATAGCACTTCCATGGAAGATTTCTGGTGTGAGGTGGAAAATATCAAAGAAAGCACTGAGGACAGACAAGATGACCAAACTCTGTTAGAAGTCAAGCCTCCTGATGGTGAGCATACTCATTTCCAATACATCCTCACACATGCTTTAAACATTTAATTTTTTTTTAGTTCTTTAACATCCTTCCTCATGAACATAACCCTAATCTTTGATATTTAGTCCAGTTATTTATTCATTTCCTTCACTTATACACTAACTTTCTCCCCATCTGGGTTAGGCTGAGAGTGTGTGACTGGCCCAGCAAGCTTCCATGGCAGAGTGGAGATTGGAACCGGGGTCTTCCCGTCTGACACTCTAACCTCGACACAATGCTGGCTTTCTAGCAAATCTGCTTGTGGTACAGATACAAGGCTGTATTGAGTAATTTTACCCTGGTGGGATGTTCAATATGCACTGTTTTAAACAGTTCTTCACTGAAGCAGCAAGACTCGTGAATAAATTTAAAATCAATACTTTCAGTCAGTCCCTGCTTCCCAAATTTGTCCAGAAATTCATGGTCCAAAATTTCTAATCTATACAAAAATAGTGAGAGGCCCATCAGAATGGTAAGCTACAGGTAAATTTTTGAAATGTGCTCAGTATATTAATATGAATTGCTATAAATAATCTAAATTCTATGTTATTAATTTATGCACATCAGTATATTTACTGATTTATATTAATTAGTAAATGTAGACATTTGAAATAAATATAAATACTTCATGCGCCTGTGCCTGTATAAAGCATAGTAATGCTGAAAGTCAGACTTGCAAAGTGAGCATGGCTAGAACAGAGAGGAAGACAAATTACAGACCAGGTTTGTTTGTTTTTTAACTTTTTTCATCACAGCTCAGGCTTGAGGGATGGAGGAAGAAATGTGAGAACAGGCGTGTGTAGAGCATTTTGATATGGTTTTGCTGTTTGGGAAATAAACACCATTTGGTTGTCCATTGATTGCCAGTGCTGTTGAAATGTACACATTGCAATCTGAAACAGGGTCAGTGGGTGGGAAGAATGATTGATGCTTTTCCTCTGATGCTAATTAATTTTCATGCTGATTCTTTTAGCTTGAAAGCAGACATTGCCCTGGAAGGGGGAATAAATTTGGACCAGGAGGAAATGTGCCTCACAGTGCATGACACATTGTTTTAAGTCCCCCGCTTAAAGATGGCATAAACAGGAGTTAGTTCAGTTACTCTCTGTCGTCCTTGTTTTTCTCCAACAGCTATTCAGCTGCCCTCAGAATTATGTGCCTGCTGACGGGTCACGAGCATGCTTTGTCCTCATCATTTGTAACGGAGGATGTATGCTAGGATAAATAAATAAAAAATAATAAATCCCTTTAAAATTTATAAACTGGTAACTTCCCTGTGTGCCTGGAGAGCCCCCGGAGTACACACAAGGCCATATCATGCCTGTGGATTATTTGGTTTCATTGTCATTCTGGTAGGCACAGGGACCACCAAGATACAGTAGATTTAACCATGTCAATATAGCCACGTATCTAGTTGTTGAAAATCAAGTTTGCTTAATGTAATGTACTAAAACATGAGTGTTTTAGAGATAAACCACCATTAATCCACCCATCTTTATAGCAACGAGGAAGGGGCAGAAAATAGGATTGCCAGGTCCTCCCTGGCCACCGGTGGGGGATGTGGGGGCAGAGCTACTAGAGCCAGGTTGGGAAACTCCTGGAGAGTTGGGGATGGAGCCTGGGGAGGGCAGGGACCTACTTATTTCCATTTATTTCAAGTGGAATAAATCCCCTGAGGATTCTAAACATGTTTGCTAAGGTGTATATCCCACTGAGTTCAGTTGCTAGTAAAAGTGCTTCGAGTTGAAGCTTAATGTCCTTAATGTGGCCAATTCATACTCTGACTCTTTAAATGTATCCTACAAAGAGATCCTGTATTTATTCCCTCTAGCAGAAAAAGGTAATTCAGAGGTTTTTTTAAAAAAGAGAGGAAAGACAACACAATGGCTAAATGAAGATATTTTGGAAAATATTTGTTCTTAACAAATCTCAGAAACTGTTTTTAAAGAGTTACAGCAAAAATCTCCTACTTATTTCCATTTATTTCAAGTGGAATAAATCCCCTGAGGATTCTAAACATGTTTGCTAAGGTGTATATCCCACTGAGTTCAGTTGCTAGTAAAAGTGCTTCGAGTTGAAGCTTAATGGCCTTAATGTGGCCAATTCATCCTCTGACTCTTTAAAGGCTTCCCTTCCCTAGATCCTGTATTTATTCCATACAGAGAATGATTAAAGTGCCTTTGAGAAAGCTTAGATGTGCTCTTGAAGGAAGGATGAATTATTAGTCCCAGTTGTGGTCTTACAAAAAAAGTTTCAGAAGACTCATAGTTCCATTGACCTCAGGGACCAAAGTAATGGATTGGTCATACCGCTGTGTACAGATGGCGTTGTTAAAGATCATGAGGCATTGTTCCAGCGGTGGAGAGTAAATGACGATTTAATTTTCTGCTTTTTTTGTCTGCAGAATTAACAAAATGTCTTCCAGGCTGGACTATTTTCTAATTTTCATTTTTACTGCCTGTCATTTCTTTTCTTCATCTGTGTTACCACTGTGTGTATATCACAAGACTTTTGACCATGTCTCCTGAAATGCAGAGGTTATTACCCAGCTACAGGACTTTGAAGCTGCTTTTTATGTATCCCTTTAAATAATGCAGGCAGCAGCTTCTTCTCCAAAGTGAGACAGACCCCATTGCCCCCACCAAGCAGATGCCAAGGTGCTTCAGTGATTCATCCGGCCCTGACTGCCTGACTGCATTAAGCAAAGTGTTGCCTAACCGTTTCAGTTCAACTAGGGCTCCACAGGATCCCTCCCTCCCTCTTTCC